GATGATCTGTTGAGGTCCCTTCTGATCCTAGCATCTATGACTCTATGGGTTCAGAGATGAATAGAAAGGTAGGGAAAGTGAGAGAGAAGATGAAGGTGAACTTATCCCACCTGTAGAAGAGCTAAGTAATATTACCATGTTGATATGAGAAAGTGGGAACATAGCAGAGCTTAAAAGGCTCATACTCATGATCAGGAAGAAATGGGCCACAATCTAAAAACATCTCTTTCTTGGCTCCTTTCAGAGAAAGCATTGGTTCCAAACTGAAAGAGCATGAAATAAGAAGGTAAAATGACAAAGCTATTATCAGACTTCATTAATATACTGTAGTGCAGTATCACGGACCGTTCAGGGATCATTGTCCTAACCTGCATCTACATTTCATCACTGTTTTTCTTTAAAATGTAGCTAAAAGATGAATCAAACTCCACGGTTCTGCACAATAAAATGCTCCTCTAGGTGTTGCGACAGGCTTGCAAATTAATTATTTTATTCCAAGCCCAATGCCTTTTTTCAAAGTTTTCAAAGATGCTCAGCTTCTATTTCCTGCCTGCTACTGGTTAGAAGTCCTTATCATTTTTGAGTCAGCAGAGCAATGGCAAATGTGTGCTGGGGAAAATGGTGAGAACAGTTACCTACTTTTGTAAATCTGTGGAGCCACTACTGGAAAATGAACAATTAAAAACAAGCACCTAGGAATACAGAACATTTGAATAACAGTTTTAATAAGGCAAAACTTTAGCCATATTCAGGGAAAAAAAACTTATAGAACAAACAATGTAAAAATCAAACATTTTAGCAATTAAGATACAAAATCTGATACAAAAAGCATCCCGTTTAAAGCTTCAAACAGACCTGCTGGGGATTATCGAAAGCAGAAGTAATGGAGCAAAACTGTGGAAGACAGAGCAGTACAACAAATAAGCAGATAGAAAACCAAAAACAGGAGGTGATATTATAGACAAAGGGAAAAAGGTGGAAAAGTGTTATTGCCACTCAGTTCTCCATTGCTATCTGATGAGTGTTTCTGTCTTCACTCTAAATAGAAACTTAAGACTGAGGTTTTGGTGATCCATGATGTCATCCGAAAAGGAGCAGCTATTTTTAGTTTCTATTCTGTGTTGGTCACTGCATAAATCTTGCCTGATAGTAAAAATCAGCTCTGTGAAGTCACATTTCAGTGTGTAAATGGCATACACAATCAGTATGTTTTTCAAAGGTGCCTTTCTTCCAAATTTCACTGACGCATACTTCAGCTACAAACAGATCCCTGCTTGAAGCAACAAGACTGTCTTCTTGTAGTTAGGAAACCATCTTCTTTGACCATTCAATAAAAAGGTGGAGCACTTTGCATTCTTTTAGGGATTTTGACTTGAGTCTGCAGCCACCCTTTGTAAACTTCTTCTTGGATCTGAACAATATTTTCACGCACAAACTGAAATACAATAAGGAACTTTCCTTAATGCTTGACATTATATATCGGCATATATATAAAAGGTATTGAGGTAGAATAATACATCAAACAACTGCACTGTATAACGTTTGACTGGCTACCAGAGAGACCAATCTGATTTTGGAACAACCATTCCTGAGGCTGCAAACTATTAGAACATCAATTTGTGTTAGCTTGGTTTGACAAGGATGAAAAGAGAAAGAAATATTTTACGTTAAATTTCAACAATAGTGAAGGTTAATTAAAATGAATAAAAATTGAAAACTATGGGATCGTCCATGTTATTTATATCCTCAAACTGTCAAAGCCATTTTAATGTAAAGCTTTGCTTTTACCTTGAGCTTGTGTTATATTAAATTGACTTAAAGTTGAATAAAAACATTAGCCTCAGCTCTTTTGTCAAAACCAGCCAGCTTACACTCAGTGATGTTTTTGCTGTTCCTGAAATACTACAGCTGCCTTTATCAATTCCAGCCAGAAGGAACACCACAGCCTTCCCTCCTCTGTGTATTTTTGTGAAGAAAATATAAGAGGTAGGAAAAAGAGCTCAGCCTCATTAATATCTCTTTGTTTTAGCAACCCCTACTGGCAGGAGAGCAAAGGAACAAAATACAGAGGAAACCAAATGGAAACAAGAATCAAAGACAGACAGCTATAAAAATAAATTGCAGCAACAGAGAATACAAGGCTTTATAAGGACACTATGGATTTGGAAAGGGGAGCCACAATAGCTAACAAATGCTCTGACTCTGGAAATATCTGATATAAACAGATGTTGGGGATCAAGAAGGAATGGCTAGTGTTCATAAGAGACCAAGTAAGTGCAGCATAAACAGGCGGGGTAGAGAATGCCCTCAGTTGGTAGCCTAGTGCAATTGTTCTCAACCTTAGCCTCAAGGCACGCATCACTTTTCTGAATTTATCAGCACCTCAGATTCTGGCTGCGGTTTACTGAGCTAAAATCTAAATTCAGAAAAGTGATGGAGGGCTCCCTTGAGGCTAAAAAGGCTGAGAAACACTAATCTAAATGGTAACGGGGAGGGTGGCGGTGGATGCCAGACCTCACTCTGCTGTGCTCCGCTCTTTTCACTGCCTGGCCCCCCCTCCCCATCCCTGGACCACACCTGAGGGGATAAGAGTGGTCCCTGTGGCCAAGGCTTCTCCCATGGGGTTGTGTTGGCAACCAGAGCCATCTGCCACCACGGCTTCTCCTGGTGGCTTTGGAAGTGTGGGAGAAGACACAGGGATGAGCTGGGCTAAAAAGCATGGCTCCGAACATTCATCAACCTGCTTGCAGCAGACCATGGTGCTCAGAGAGTGGGGGTGGGCAGCACAAGCATGCCAGAGGGTGGGGAAGGGCAGCAGTGTCAGGTCCCCAGAGAAGCAGCTTGCCATGCTGCTGAGATGCTGCAGCGAGTGTGGGGAGCTGGATGGGGGAAGGAGAGTGCTTTATGGACTGGGTGCTGTGGCACTCCACAAAAGATTTCATGGCACCCCAGTGGATAATCATTGGCCTAATGGTTAGAACCCAAATCCTGCACTTCCCAGGCCACTAAGCTATTGGGCAAAAGGTGAGTGTGTGCTCCTTTTTGCTATGTGTGCACTTTCAGCAGCAGTCAACCAGTGTGGCCTGTTCTTCACCTAAAGAACTGGGGATTGAGGCTGAGTTCAGTTACTTCCCAGCACTGATTTGGATTGCAGGCAATTTAGGGCCTTGTTATACGGTAATTTTGGTTAGCTTCTGGAGTTCTTAACCCCTGGATTGTCTGCATATTAACAGCTTAATGTGGCATTAAACACTCGTTATATGGCTCAAAGTTATGCCACTGCAGGGCAGGATTATCTCTGATCTGCACTACCAAGCGCCTATTCCATTAAGGTGTGGCCACTCCCTACAGATGTGCTGCCCAAATTGTAGGGCTGTGTGAAGCTGTGGTCCCCAATTCAATTTGGTGGAGATTCAGCCTGATTTGGCGGCTGAATCTCTGAATCCAAATCAAATCAGAGGACTCTTTAATCTCTCTGAATCGATTAGGAACCCTCTGAATCAATTTGGAGAGATTCGGACAGATTCGGTGTTTCAGACGTAGACACAGCTTTAAATGTTTTTTCTACATACCTCTAGGTAGCAGGGGCTCTGTACACTGTGGTGCTGGGGCAGCCCCACAGGAGCACGGGGGGCTGCGCAGCGCTCTCAGCAGCAGACCCAGAAGTGGACCAGAAGCACTTTGAGTCCACTGGGGAGCATGCTGGGGGACCCCCCTTGCACCCCCTGGCTCGACAACTGGTGCTTCCTGGTCTGGGGGGCACCTGGGGTCCCCCTACAGATGACTGCTGGGCTGGGAGGGCATGGAGGGGCTCCCAGAGCGCTCCCCGGCAGACCTGGAAGTGGACTGGAATTACATCTGGTCCACTTCTGGGTTCACTGCCGAGCACGCCGGAGAGCCTCCTGCACTGCTGTGGGATGCTCCATCCACCCCAGCACTGCAACAGTCATGAGCCATGCTGCTACCTCAAGGTGTGTAGAAAAAACTTTTAAAGCTGTGCCTGTGTCTGAATCGCTGATTTGCCAAATCAGCATCGAATCATCAGATTCGGTTTCAGCCAAATCGAATTGGGGACAGTGATCCGAATCAATGGATCAAATCACTGTCCCTGATTCAGGCCGAATCCAAATCCGAATCAAATACAGCCTGTTTCAAACACCCCTACCAAATTGGAGTCCTCTGAGGTATCCCAGGAGTCCCTGTCTGTAGAACAGGGATAGAAGCCTGTCTTGGCTCACCAGCCATCTAGTGGCAACTCACAGCTACAGCTCCTAGTCCTGTCCCTGCTCACCAGGCCTGTTATTGGCAAGTCACAGCTGTGCACATAGGGGACAGTCAGAGAAGGATGCGACTGCTCCAAACTCCAAGCTAGCAGTAACACCAACCAACATTTGTACAGCTCACAGTGTAAGGTGTAGCAAGGCCCTTAGGCAGGAGCTAAATGTGTAAATATCCAAGTTGTATCACTTCTGAGCTTATTCAATAGGCCAAGTTTAGGTACCTACATAGGTTTTCAGGGCAAAGTGCAAGTGCTTAATGATTCTAGAAGCCCAAGTAGTTTTGCAGGTGCTGCTGGGGGATTACCCTTTGGGCATGCACATATTGCTTCCATGCCATTTGTGACAGCACTGGTGAGAAGCATTACCCATTTCTGCTCTGTATATGCCAAACCCAGAACAAGGTGAAGTCAGCTGTGGACACCCCCATCACTGCTCTTAAGCAAGTCAGAGACCAGTGATCTTGAGACTTGTGTTGGAGAGATGTCCCCAGGGCAGCTTCACTGCCTTATTTCAAGGTTTGACACATGTATCGGGAGTGAGTGGGCAGTGTTTTACTTCTCCTAAGAGCCCTTTGTGACTTAGGTGCCTAAATTTTGTTCAAGTCCTGTTTAGGAACCTGCAAGATCAATCAGGAATTGACCCTTGATCTTTGCCTTTGTACCTCAGTACCCACCATGCAAGATGTGTAGTTACCTACGTGGTTGCCATCAAGAGGTTTCTGCAGATACTGTAGATCAAGGAAGGAATGGACTGAGCTGACAACCAAAAACACAAGGTGGCATCATTGCCTTGTCTATAAATGACTTATTTGGACTATGCAATGTAGATTAATATAATCTCTTCTCTTTCCTTTCCATGCTTTCTTTCCTTTCCATGCTTTCTTTCCTTTCTCTTTCCCTTACCCTTCTCTCTTCTGCAAATTGTTTCTGAAGACACTTTATTTGAGCCACTTGAGAGGCTCTTTAAACACAGCTGGAGCAGCTTCTATCTGTAAATGGCTGAAGGCTCTTCAAACAAATGTGCACTTTTCATAGTTCACTATTGTGATACTTTTCCTATAGTGGTTGGCAGACATCACAGCCATGAATTACAAGTCTTTTTGGGCACTGTAGTGATTGAATATTCTTTTCTACGTATTCTAGCTATTACAGTGTCATTTTCACTCCAGCAGCAAATAAATAGGTAATGAAATAGGAATAAAACAGTAATCATTAACAGTACTTTGCAAGGAGTTCAAAGCACTCTACAAAGGGGGCAGTGCTACCTACCTCGATCTTGCACAGACACGGTCCGCAATATATATCATTGTAATTTTCGATTGGGTAACCACACCAGAAGGTGTCTGGCCTTCCTCTTGTCCCCCATCTCCCCTTCGCTAGAATGTTTCAGCTCACCTCCACAGCTGCAGAGATGTCTGGAGAACACAGCTCCCATACACGCAGATCACTCAGCACCTTCAGAAAGGTGCTGGGACGGATTCTTAAGTCTGGGTTCTTGCCAAATTTTTCCAGTTTCTTTAAGATTTTCTGTGTGCGACTGTCATTCTTCACAGCATTGGGCAGTCTGGATATCAAACTCAGAAACCTTTAACAGCAAGAAGAAAAGAGCAGCGACTAAATAAATAGATGCCTTTGAAACTGATGTTTACCCAGCTGGGTACCTCAGACCTTCCTGATACTTTTGCTCGGTACAGTTTCTAGGAAATGATGGAAAAAAAGGCTTGTTTTTATTCTTCTCAGACCTCTGCACCCAATTCCTCTTGCATGGCATTAAAAACACTCCTTAATTGTTCATTTACATTATAGGTGAAAACCTGTGGTGTGGAAGCAAACAATCAAATATTGACAAATGTTTCCATTTTACTTCTGATTTGCCCTTTTCATCTTTTGTCTCTCTATTTTGTTTTGTCTCTGTAGATTTTCTAAAGCAATCGGTGCCTGATCTGACACAGTGTCTGATTTTCTTTACTGTCCCTTTTCCTGTTGCTGTCATCATATTTTTCCCCTGTGCAGGTTGACATAAATCTCACTGATGTGAATGCACTGTAACACTCAATCTTTGTCATTTCACTCTGAATATGGAGACTCAAGAAAAGAATTACACACTACAATAAAAATAAAGCTCTTGTGAAAAGACTCCCATTTGCTCTTGACTTTCTGTGTAAATTTTATAGTGCTGCTTTGACAATCCCAGAGATGGATGTCTCTGACCCTTCCAGACCATATACATGTGAGGGACTGCAATAGTGTATCTCTAATCCTATCAGAGTCCTGAATACACTGGCATATCAGCTAATCTTTAGCAGAAAGTGCCACCTCTCTCTGGTAGAAGACAAATACGTACAAGTCAGCAGCAAGAGGAGGGTCTTCCCTAACCATTAAGACAGGAGGCAACTTAGTCCTTGTCTATACCAGGAGTCTGTTGCTTGTATGGCTACACTAGCAAACAGGGGGCAGATCCAAGGGGTATGCTGGGGGTGCAGCTGCATCCCCCTTTAGCTGTGTAGCATGTGCGGGGAGCTCTCTGAGCTTACCAGCTCATCAGTGCAGTTGCTGCTACAGCCTGCACTGGTGCCATGCTCAAGTGCAGGGGGTGAATGCTGCTGTCACTTATTCCCCTCCTCTTTTCTCTTGCTGCCAGTTTTGATAGCAGGCAAAGGAGTGTGGAGTGTGGGGTGGGGGGAAGGAGGGTAATCAGCAGTGGCATTCACCCACTGAATACCAGAGCCAGGCTGATGTAGGTTCCAGCAGCAGCTACGCTGATGACTTGATGAGCTCAGAGAGCTTACTGCACGTGCCACCTAGCCAAGGCCAGATCTTAGAACTGCAGAACAGGGGGCACAAATACACTGCAACACGGGAATCAAGCCTTGGGAGGTCAGAATTCAGGTGGTCTATTGGCTTCCATGGGGGTGTAGATAGTACACCCCTGGGAATCCTAGGATTTTGAAAAGGGGGGTGTAGATAGTAAGGTGCATCATCACATATTTTTATCCACGTAAAACTTCTAATTTCTTTTTACTAATATACTAGGGGTCAAGGGCAATGCCATATTATTCGGTTCAAGATGGAAGCAAAAACAAATACAATTTTATTGGAATGTGCATTAATTTGCTGTATCATATGATATGTATAAAAACCCCAACCAACTAGGCAAAAAAACCAATCAAAAGATATTGTTTCTTTAGTCCTGTTGTCATTAAAATTACATGTACATCTCTTTCAGATTCATAAAACAAAATCTAGCCTTATTGAGCATCTGGAAAGTGCATCTAATATTCACTGAAAATTATTTCCACACCTGAGTTGGTGTTTACCTGAGTTCATATTTTTAGAATTAAAAATAATCTGCAGGGATGTGAAATAGGAGCAGCATTAAGAGGAGCAGGTAACAGACAGCAGAATTGCAGAAGAAAGGATGGCTTAGTTACTGGAACATCAAGACTATTAAAAAAGGAGAAAGGATAAACCACAAAGTCAAGTGACTCCCTCCTTGCTGCCTGGCTTCTGCCACTGTCAGGCAGTTGGCTTTAAATTTTGGGTGGACCAGGAATCAAAGCAATATGTGACTTCACCACTGCATGCTCTTTGGATCTGCCCCTTGTTCGTTTCTAATTAGACATTTTATTTTGCTTTTGGCAGACTAAAGATTTTGAAACAAAGAAGAGCTTTGGTTTTACAGGAAAGGCTTTTGGGGCACGGGGAGGAAGGAAGAGTATTCAGTCAAACTAAGTATCTGCGCTCTCTCACCAGTTGCATTCATCTTCATCATGTTCTCTTTCAGCTCTTGTTCCAGATTGTCTCATTCTTTCTAGGTCTCTTTCAAAACACTTGATACTTTTTAAAGCTTGGTATTTCTGTGAACATTTCTCTTCCCGCCGCCTGCAATAAAACTTAAAAAAATTAGAATGGGATATTTTAAAAATGAATGTTCTGGCTGAGTGTTAATTAGGAACATAACAAAGACGGTAGAGGACTCATGGATGAAAAAAGTAAATTATGTTCAGTCTGCAAGTACTAAAATTTTGTGTTTTAGTTGTGATTTCTACATTTAAATCTCTTCAAACAATTTACAAACCATAATTAATCTGTGAGATAAAGAACACACTTAGAGATCAAATGATGTAACAATTGTTTACAACCACCTCAGGGCTGTAAACAAATGTTTAAAAGCAATTAGGAAAAAAGAAAAAAAAACAGCCATATTTGTTTGAAACTTAGTGGAAAATAGGTTGAGCATACTTTTCTGAGTTGGAATTTTAGCTGGGAAACCAAACTAATATCTGTAATCATATGAACAACTTTATTACATTAGATTGAATGCAAGGAGTCAGGGAAGGCTGCAGGATCTTATTTCAAAGTAAACTTAGTGAACAGAGTGCCACGTATTGACTTAGCAATGCTATTTCCTGCTGCACATCGATGCTCCTCGGAGGTCTTTCTCACAAACACTGATCAACCCGGGTATGCTTGTGAGATTTACAATAATTACATACGAGGAGATCTCAGGTCTTTTCCTCTCTGAGCCAGTAGAATTTACAAATGTTACAGGTAAGACTTCTGTTCTAGAAGAAAGGATCACAAACACTGGCTGACCGACAGACCCGAATTGATGCTGGCCTAGGAGAAGGCTGCTCACTTGTCCTTCGGGTGAGAGAAGTCTGAAAGCCCAGGAATGATGTTAAAGGGTGTGTGTGGATCGGCCTTAAGTTTGGATGATTTAGTAGTCACTCTTTTGGGGAAAAGAGGTAATGGCCTCAAAAGTAAATAAATCCTGCCCTATTAACAGGACAGTGGTCTCAATGTGTGGAGCTAGGGGGACTGAGATTCTCAGACTAAGAGTCAGACTACAATTTGAAATGCAACAGCTGGTTTTGAGATTCATCCGATAAACAAAGACTGTCTTCAGTCTGGAAAATGTTTATTGAATATTTCTGAACATAACTGATGCAATTGTGAGTCAACTGGCTAGAGAATAAAGGAGGCAATAAGCTCTATGAAGCTGGGGGAATTTTATCCTAGTGTCCATAAAGACACATGTAAAAGTAAATATCCAATGTAATGTCCATAGAAATCATTCAGAGAAAACCTAGCACATTTGCTTGAAAAGTCAGCCTGCAGTGTACATCCTGTGCATGGGAAGGCACAAGACTATCCGGATCGACACGCCATTTGTCATTATTCTGTTGCCACGCCATTTCAGTGAGCAGGTTCATCTTTAGAAGGTTTGGGAGCAAGTCCTCGCTAATACCTATAGTGAGGCATTGCATATTTTGACAAAATATAGAAGGTATTCCAGTTCTTACCTTTCAAGTATCTCCAGGTTGTCATGTAAACAAAGTGCTGCTTCTTCAGCTATGGCTGAGAACTTCTGTCTCATCTCAGCATGCAAATTACATTTGCTTTCAATGAAATAGCTGGCATGGCGGCTGCAGGTGGAAAAATACATAAACCTGGAGTTATGCATCTCTGGGGCACAGTGCTGGACTACTCCGAATGTAGACTCTTTTAAAGTGATGTGAAATGAAAACCTCAGCTCTCGGACACTTGAAAGCTGACAGATCCCCATTCACTGTAAATATGCAAATTAAGGAGCAGAGAGCTTGGTTTAGATCTGATCAAATGCTAGAAAGAACTGCTTGCAAATATTCATGTGATTCAAAAAGCACATTTTTCTCTCAACCATATCCCTAACCTTTTTGCATTCATCTCCTGGAACATATACCAGGTTTGAGATTTATTGGCAATTTCAAGTTGCATATTCATTTGTAAAATCCACAGTCTATGTTGTTCTGGTTAGTTACGTCAACCATCCAAATCAGCAACAGAAACAAACTGCATGAAATATAAATAAAGAACAGATTGTGAATTGCAAATAATACCAGACACTGAACAAGGCCAGGCAGCTTCCTTATTCATAAATGTTTAAGACCTATAATGTTTTCTCTAACCTTCAACTGGTAAGGTTTAACTAGGCTTCCTTTTTGACCCAGTAGTGGATTTAAACATAGAAGGGCAAATATTTAAGAGAGAATACAGAAATTTGGCTTTACAATTCATATTACTGTTAGTAGGAATATTGTGACAAAGTCCACATACAGTGTATCAGGCAATATATGTAGTGTAATGGCATTTTGTTGGCTCACTGTGCACCCCTACAGCAGCACAGCTTGTAATCCACCTGCACTGATATCATGAAAAAGATGATACGCAGAACGCTCTATAGTGTGCTTACCTTTTGGTCCTCTTTATGTGCTTTGTGCTCTCTTCTTCTTTAAAGGTTGCTGTGGTTGTTTTGTCTTCTCTCACAGTCACAGAGAGTGAACTGCAAGAGAAAAACCCAAATCTCTTAAAATAATATATTGCAATCCAAGGCACTGCAAACAGGAATCGGCAATTCTGTAGATAATAAACAGCTATGATGCCAACCAGATTCAGCTGGATTGAAACTGAAAACTTTTAAAGTAGCTTTCATCTTGTCTTAGATGTAATCAAAGAAGGCTAAACCCTTTAAGGTGATCACAAAAAGTTAGATCTTTGGTTGTTAGTCATATTAGTGGGGAACCCAAGGTAAAATCCTCATGCACTATCTTGAAAATACAACACAGATTTTAGAACATCCAGCAATTAAACAACTGACAGAAGGCAGAGCGTCACTGACTATTATGACAACAAGATGCTATCTGGCATTTGCATGCCATATGTTTTTCACACAAGCAGCTGACTGGGTGCAGCATATGAAGCTGACTATATGGTACCTGCTTAGATTTTATTTCTACCTTCTAGGCCTCTGGTCCCCTGCTGTTATGCCGTCTTGGTCTGCTGTTGTGTTTACTTTGTCATCCTTCTGAGCCCCATGCAGGGAACTGCAAGACAAAACAAGGTTTTAAAAATTATACACACTATGCCTTCTCCAGCACGAGATATCCTACTGGTGCTGATGAATCACTCCTGATATGACAGACTTAATCAGAACCATCCAGCTTTGTACTCAATATTTCATTTCAACTCAACCAGAGAGGAATATATCACTGCACATGTCTAATTGCAATAATTATCTGTTGTGGAAATCCTCACTATGCTAGGGACAGGCTACAGTATCCAGGACAGTTCTTGGTCCTCCTCTCACTGAGAAATTCTTAGTTATCTTCATAGATCCCATCAGAACCTAAGTCAAAACGTGTACAGAGACGCTGGGTGAGTGGACAGGTCCAGAATGATGGCTGAACACGAGTTAGAGATCTAATAGGGATTGGATCCAAGAACTTAGACTGGGCTTGAATAAGTCCCACATAAACGAGAGTAGATCCAGTGCACTGACCTTTGCAGCCTAGCAGTGCTGCTCTCTTCTAGTAGGAATTCCTCCCCTTTTTACCTTCACATAAACTCCCAGAATTTCTCATCTCTAAAAAGCCCCCTTCAGCAAACTTTTTACAAGTGCAATTGTTATGGATATGTATGAACCACCTCAGGTTCAGAAAGGTCCTGGCTACTGCTTTTCAAGTTTAGTGGAAAGTTCAACATAATAATTATTGAATATTATGTGTTAGGAATAATTCTTACCACCACATGTATTTGAGTCATTGAGAAGAGATCAGTGCTATTCCTAAGTAGCATTTTTTCTTCAGAAGGGCTTGGGATCACACAGCCAGTTGTTGCCAATTGTGAAAAACAACCTCTGATACCTTTTTGACTCCACACAGTTTTAGGTACTTTTGCCCCAGCATTTCCTTTAATTTATTAGTGAATATAAATACATAAGGATAGATTTTTAATGATGGTGATTCAGCTGCACAGCTTTCCTTAATAATAGTGGGAGAACTAAGACAAAACCCAATATGCTGTATTAAAAATGCACAACTAGTAACCTGATACATAACAAAACTTCACTGATTCCACCTCTCTTTCAGCAGGACAAATACTGGTGTTGTTTATGCATGTGACATTGTATGCCATATGCCTCACACAAAGATGACTGCCTGCCACATAGCACATGCCACAGTCATTCTTTTTTACGTATTCTTACCTCTTATGCCTCTGTTCCAGAAATGTTATGTTCTCTTGGTCCTTTAATCCACTTACGCTAACTCTTTCATTCCTTTGATAGGCCGGTTGTGCACTGCAAAGCAAGACAGTGCGTCCTTGAAACCGTAAAGAATATACCTTTTTTCCAGCACATGAACAATGCTGGTGGTGTTGCTTCCGAGTCCTGAATGGAGGAATTTACATAGTTTCTGGCTGACTGGAAGAGTGGTTTAACTAAAAGATGTGTAGGTCTAGGGGCAGAGGGTGCCGTGGTACAGTTGCATCTTTGATTCTTGCTCTACCTCCAAACCTCAGCAGCATTTCTATTCAGGTGGTGCTGAGAGAGTCAATTGACTCCATGGCTTATTATAATCTACCTGGTTCCTGGCAATCTATTTTCATTCCACAGGTGATAATGATCCTCCCTCCTTGTTAACAGTCTTAATGTTCCACTATTCAAACTTATATTTTCCTCATTGCTGTCTGTTAGCTACTTCCTGGTAATGTCTCTCTTTTATGTTATTGCCCTGCCAACTGTTTTTAATTCAAGCTAAAAATCAGGGGTAACAATAATATTAGCTTAGGTGAAGTATTAGCGGCATTGTAAAAAAGACTAGATTTCGTTTTACAGATTTGAATAAGAGGTGTACACTTAACTATAATGACTACAGGAAGAATGAAACAATATATTTGGACTATTTTGACCATTTTTGCCTAGGGTGTTGTGTTTTTAAAACTTAATACAAAATCTAGACAATTCACGAACATTCCCATAAAACTGCATTTTCTTTTGCTTAGATCTAAAACTGAATAATACAGAACTAGGTCCCCTAGCTTATTAGTAAAGCTTCTAGTTTCTTTTTAACTGGAGAAAAATGTGTCATGTTGTATGTGATGATGAGCCACCTCATTATCTGCATCCCTCTTTTCAAAATCCTTGATTTGCTCATGTGTGGGTCAGATCCCCACATTTTGTAAAATGGTTGAGCTCCACTAGCTTCAGTGGAACTATGCCAAATTACATCAGTAGAGGAAGTGGCCCATCTGTATGTCCACATAGGGTCCATCTACACATGAAATTAATGCAATGCAATAAACTCTGGAGCAGTTCGAGCTGGAGTCAGCTGCTCCCAGGTGCAGAGTCTACATGTATGCCCAGGACAGCAACAGTTTGAGCCGGGGCGGAGCAGCCCCAAGATGTCAGCAGACTCGGGGGGTCAGACAAGGGTTCTGGGTGGCAGCGTAGGGTGACAGAGGGCCTGGCTGGGGCGCAAGAGTGCTAAAATGCAGAGTTATGCGGCAGGCAGCCCCGACACTTTAGCACCCTCATGCCCCAGCCAGCCTGTCACCATAGATTTATAGATTCATAGATGTTCGGGTCGGAAGGGACCTCAATAGATCATCAAGTCTGACCCCTGCATAGACAGGAAAGAGTGCTGGGTTCAGATGACCCCAGCCAGATGCCCATCCAACCTCCTCTTGAAGACCCCCAGGGTAGGGGAGAGCACCACCTCCCTTGGGAGCCCATTGTAGATTTTGGCCACTCTATCTGTGAAGAAGTTCCTCCTAATGTCCAGTCTAAATCTGCTCTCTGCTAGCTTATGGCCATTATTTCTTGAGACCCCCAGGGGCGCCTTGGTGAGTTGAGCCTCACCAATTCCCTTCTGCATCCCCATGATGAATTTATAGGCAGCCACAAGGTCGCCTCTCAACCTTCTCTTGCAGAGGCTGAAGAGTCCAGGTGCCTCAGTCTCTCCTCGTAGGACTTAGCCTGCAAGCCCTTAACCATATGAGTGGCCCTTCTCTGGACCCTCTCCAGGTTATCCACATCCCTCTTGAAGTGTGGTGCCCAAAACTGCATGCAGTACTCCAACTGCAGTCTGACCAGCGCCCGATAGAGGGGAAGTATCACCTCCTTGGTTCTGTTTGTCATGTGTCTGCTGATGCATGATAAAGTGCAGTTAGCTTTTCTGATCACTTCGTCAAACTGACAACTCATGTTCATCTTGGAGTCCACCAGGACTCCAAGATCCCTTTCCGCTTCCATGCTACTGAGCAGGACCATCTATATGAGCACTTCGTTGCACTTAATTACTCCACCATATGATAGTGCTGTCCTCGACAGTGCTATCCTATGGCAGAGTTAATTAATTCACTGTGCTATAATACCAGCACACGTGTAGACAGAGAAGCTTTACTGAGGAACTAATTAGTCAACTCCGCAGTAAAATGTACACGTAGATGAATCCACATGGTACTCGACAGAAACACCTGAACTGTAATTAGGGAGAAATAATCCACATGCACATAAAGGCTAGGAAAGTCTATGTCACAAAAATCACAGCACCTGAACATAGCCCTCCTAAGACTTGAAAAGAACTGAATTGCAGTCTTTGCTGTTGTCCTTCTCTCTTTACTTATTTGTCTTGCAGCCAGGGGGCCTCCCATTGATTGAAGTGGCATTGCATGCCTGTAATGGCTCACATTTTTGGAAAATGTTCAGTTTGAGGTTAATTGAAGTGGCCCTAGAACTTCAATAACATTATGATTATGAATGACATCCGCCTTTACTCACCATTTACTCTTGAACATTTCTAAAACGGTGATAATTTTAGAGAGTAAAATAATAGAAGGTCTGCTGGAAATGTTACACAGGGACTACAGAAAATGTAATGGTGGCTCCATAAAAAATATTAAGAAACTGAGTATAAAATGGCCTATTTCTCTGTAAAGCTTCTGTACATGATTTTTACAGGTGTTGTATGAATTGTTTTCTTGTTGTAAGGAAAAAAATCATGACAGGCCCACCTGGAAAATACAGTCAACTGAGCTATTCTGCCACCCATACAGTGGAATGTCCATGTCACACAATGCTGAATTTAAGCAGTCACTCTCCTGGAAAAATAGTGCTGTGTAAACTCCATCATGATAGGCTTCCTCTCTCAGTTATGTGGAAGCCAATCAGGTAACATACCTTTGCAGTCTAGTCTTCTTAGACAAATCCTCTGCATCAAATTGTTTTGCCACATCTTCATGTATTATCTGAAGTAACTTCTGTAAGTCTGATGAAAAAATATATTAATAAAATCTGCCAACTAGATATTGCAATCCTTCCTTCCTTTGCAAGGATTTCTGTATACACTGGCCTCAATTTCTAAATATGCTCAGAGGAGAGTAGTGCCCAACCTGAAGCACCTTTAAAAAGGTTTGATACTCAGTACTTCTGAATAACCAGGTTCCTTTAGGATGTTTCATGCTGAGCACCCAAAACAGAACCTAAAATTATTAGCCACCTGTTGAAGTTCGGTCTTTGTTCTTTTAGTGCTGGCATAAGTAACAAATAAGAAAATATTAAACTCTGTTACTATTAATCAATACTTACTGTGTATAAGAAAAGTAGGCAACTTCTAATAAACTGTATCAGATGAAATTCAGATCCCTACTTTCATTCCAAAGATGTATCAATACATGTCATACTTAGTTGACTTTGTCACTATATTTTTCTTCTTTAAGAAAATATAGTCTATCAGATGTTAAATTCCATATCTATCTCTCATTTTCACGATATATTTAAATAATTCACCCTCAAAAAATACTTCTTTGGTTCTACCTTCCTATCCAATTATCACACTATCTTGCCCATTTCTTTCAGATGATCTCTTTCATTAATGCTCCCTTTGTCCACTTCTTGTGACTTAATTCCCCTGTGTTTCCCCATCTCTCTTGAACAGCCTCTCTCTCTCTCTCTCCTCCAAGGTCCTTAATGAAGTCATTGTTCTTCAAAATTCCTCTCAAACATGTCTTTTTACAAGCTTTCTACCATTAGACCATTGTAGCCTTGATGACCAAATACTGCAAGAAATACGGTAAGAAGATCAACACTACTTTGTCATTTTAGCACTATCCCCACTTCTCATTCCCTAATGCCACACCTTCTGTCATCTGTTGTCATCAGTCCTTGTGCTATTTATAGAATTTTGAGTTGCTCCCACAAGGTGCTGAATATGTCCTACCATGTTGAATTTGCAAGTCAATGAATGCAGCAGTACATTCCTCAGCACAGGGACTTTTTCTTCTCTGTGAAACACCATGCATACTTCAAATATTGCACGGGAGGTTTATAGAGTGCATACATGGACTTAACATGCTGTCAAACAACATCTAACAAGACAAGATCACAAGAAATAAGTGCCAATAGTTATGTTCTTATATTCAGATGTAGGCATCTAAATGAAGTGGCTTGATTTCCAAGAGTTATAAGCCCCTGGTTAGAAACTCTGGAGCTTAAATCCAGACA